GCCGTCGTCGTCGTCGCACCGCCGCCGCCGCCGTCGTCGGCGTCGTCGTCACCGTCGTCGTTTCCCTCCCTGTCGTCGTCGCTGTCGCCGCCGCCGTCGACGTCGTCGTCGCCGTTGTCGTCGCCGTAGTAGTGGTAGTAGCTGCATTTGTAGTAGCTCTGGAAGTGACAGTTGTGTTGGTAGCAGTTCCAGTTGCATTAATAGCAACGTCAACACCGGTAGCGGTAGCAGTGCCACGCTAAGTTGATGTAGCTGCGGGGTGCCAGTAACAGTAGCCCTGGTGGTAGCAGTCATAGCATTAGTAGCAGTAGTAGTAACAGTCGCCGTAGCAATTGTAGCAGTAGTGGTAGCAATACTAGTAGTAGTAGTAGTAGTAGTAGTAGTAGTAGTAGTAGTAGTAGTAGAAGTAGTAGTAGTAGTAGTAGTAGTAGTAGTAGTAGTAGTAGTAGTAGTCGTAGTAGCAGTGGTAGTAGCAGTAGTATCAATAGTCGTAGTAGTCGTAGTAGTCGTAGTAGTAGTAGTAGTTAACTTAGTAGACGTAGTATTCGTCGGAGTCGCAGTTGTAGTATTCGGAGTAGTACTGGTTCTAGTAATAGCACTCGTAAAAGTAGCTGTAAAAGTAGCGGCAGCAGCGGCTGCTTGGAACATCCCCGACAAGGACATCTGACAGAAGCACGATGAGAAACGCTCAGCGGAAAAACGAACAGGTGTAATTTTCTCTGGCACGGTTCAAGCACGCGCCGCGTTCGCCGACGTCCGCGCGCAGGCTCACCGAGACGCCCCGCTCTCAGCGCCCCAAGAATCGAGCGCTGCCGCTGTCCCGAGCCTGCGCCATCGCGACCAGACACCCCGAATGCTGGTCGCCCCCAGCAGCCGCCCCAGCGGCCGCCCCCCATGCCGGTTCGCGCCAGAGGCTGCGAATCACCGCCAGAGGCCAGAATCGTTGTGCGCCATCATCATCACCACATGGCATTCTATCGCTGCCAGTGTTTCTTTTTCCACAGCCGCAAGCGAATATTCCCCGCCTGCATCGGGGAACATCAGGGCAGCCGCGTCCTTCTTCGCGTCGCCCCGAAGGTGTTCCTTGACGCCCATGCGAACTAGAGCCATTGACAACAATCGCTCGTTGAAGTCCAAACTAGCACGCGGGGGAAGCCCATCGAGCAAGTCCCACGCGCAGGCCCAAGCGCGGAGAACATCACTTTTGGAGACTCCTGCACCGCGCAGCGCATGGACGGGCTTAGCATCGAAGGACAGGATGCTCGCGACAGAGTCTGCGACGCCCCGCCTCCTCTCAGAGACCGCGCAGGCCAGAAATAGACCTCCTGCGTGCCACGCGCGGCAACAATTACATATTGCGCCCGCGGCGGGAGCGCGCACCCAGCGCAAGATTTCCTGGAGCACCCACGCCGCGATGGAGACGATGGCTGGCGTCGCTGCGGTTTTGCCCCTGACTCGCGCATGACAAAGAGTCTCGCCTGAGGGCGCACTCGCGCCAGCGGCTGCGACCGGGGCAACCAACCCCAAATCTTGCGCGATGGACACCTGGGGCGCAGGCGGCGGGAACACCCTGCGAGGAACAGCTTCTCTGTTCTTGCTCAAGCACAGGAAACAGACGAGATCGTCGACCCCGCATGTCGCGCTAGAGGATGCACCGACCCCGTCCCCCGGGGGCGTCGCGCCAGAGGCTGCGATTTCGACAGCCAAAATAGCACAGGCCGCCTCCGCCTGTTCGTACGAATCTACACCTGCGTCGGCCAGGCCCTCTTCAGCCCCAGACCCCATGCCAGCGATCAGGGGCCAATCTTTGTCCTCGACGGGCACGCGCAGGCCCTCCGCTTTGAACAGCCGCCGCACAAACCTGGAGAGCCAGAAAGCGGACCACAAATCCTGTCAAAGGGGAGGGGGAGAAAAATGGGGGAGGGGCGGGATGGGGGCGCCAGGCAGGAGGGGGGCCCGGACATCTGCTGTCGTATATATCCAGATCCGAGAATCGGTGTCGCGTTATGTCATACGAGAACGAAGACGAAGACGACGACGACGACGACGACGACGACGACGACGACCACGACGACGACGACGACGGTGCCGACGCTGACGACGCTGACGACGACGACGACGCTGACGCTGACGCTGACGACGACGACGACGACGACGACGTCGACGAAGACGGCGCCGACGCCACTTGCCTCCTCGGCAGGCCATCGACGACGACGACGACGACGACGACGACGACGACGACGACGACGACGAGGACGACGACGACGACGACGACGACGACGACGGGCGATGTCGTCGCCACGGCTGGATTCCCCCTTGAGATCGTGGTCAAAGAGGACACCGATGCCCAACCAGAGGGCCGCAATCGGGAGGCCCCGCGTGGGATGTTTTCGGTTCCCACGCCACCTGACTCGATTGTATGTGGCGCCGGCCCATAGCTGTATCTCGTGCTTTCGCAGGATGCTCTCGGCGTCCCTGAACGTGGGCTTCGCGGCGAACAACTCGGCGAGATCTACGCAAGCGTCCCGGAGCTTACCATTCTGCACGTCAGGCACCAATTTCTCGAATTCGTGCGCACCAGTGCGGCGACTAGCCGGGTTCTTGTAAGGATGATACGCAAAAGTCTCGCCAGGGGCTGAGATTGCGATACATTTCCGGTCTTGGCGGGGTACTAACTGAACATCGTGCTCCTCTCGATTTCCGACGACCTGGTAACCGTCCATGTCCGCCTCCATCGAAGACCACGCGCCCTTTAAGATCTCAGCTCTGTCTGCGGAGTCCGCGCGCTCAAAACGGGATAATGCCTTCGACAAGTATCCAAGAAGTGAGCTCGCCGACCACCGCCAGTAGCACAGATAGACCACCGCTAAAAGCTCCAAGCGCACTGCAGTCGCGCCAGAGGCTGCGGCCCGAAGATACTCGCCGCTCGCTACGCCGACGCGAATGTCATGTCTGCGAAGCAAAGTGAGAATGAAACCGCCGGCGACGTACGCGCCGATTTTCTCTGTCGGCTTGCCCAAGATATCGCTCACCCTGGCAACTTTCCAATGCTGCCCTTTCAGAGGCGCGCGGTACTGCGCGCACTTCGAGTTCTTGCAGCTTCCATCATGGTCTCTGGCGCGCTGGTGGCACGTCTTGCATCTCAACACCATCGCGCCAGAGGCTGCGAGGCGCAGCCCCACAACGCGCGCCCTGGCGCCCCCGCGCAGACCCCGTGCTCAGCAAATGAGCGCTTGAGCCCGCTTGAGCCCGCTTGAGCCCGCTTGAGCCCGCTTGAGCCCGCTTGGCCACGCGCGATCGCAGAGAGACGAACGTCTCTCTTGGGGCCCATTATGAATGGTGCTGTCTGCCTCTGGGCATGGCTGGTGCTGGCTCTGCCCAATATGTGCGGGTGTCTGGCTTTCCTTTGATGGTGGTCTGGTCTACTTTTCGGCGGGGTCTGGTCCAGTTTTTGGCAGGGTCTGGTCAACTTTTGGATGGTCTGCTCTACTTTCTGGCAAAGTCTGGTCTAATTTTTGGCAGGGCCTGGTTTACCTATGAGTGGTCTGGTCTACTTTTTGGCAGGGTCCGGTCTACTTTTTGGCAGGGTCGGGTTTACTTATGGGTGGCCTGGTCTACTTTTTGGCAGGGTCTGGTCTACTTTTTGGCAGGGTCTGGTTTACTTATGGGTGGTCTGGTCTACTTTTTGGCAGGGTCTGGTCTACTTTTTGGCAGGGTCTGGTTTACCTATGGGTGGCCTGGTCTACTTTTTCGGCAGGGTCTGGTCTACTTTTTGGCAGGGTCTGGTTTACTTATGGGTGGTCTGGTCTACTTTTTGGCAGGGTCTGGTCTACTTTTCGGCAGGGTCTGGTTTACTTATGGGTGGCCTGGCCTACTTGTCGGCAGGGTCTGGTCTACTTTTTGGCAGGGTCTGGTTTACTTATGAGTGGTCTGGCCTACTTTTTTGGCAGGGCCTGTCTACTTATGGGTTGTCTGGCCTACTTTTTAGGCAGGGTCTGGTCTACTTTTTTGGCAGGGTCTGGTTTACCTATGGGTGGTCTGTCTACTTTTTGGCAGGGTCTGGTCTACTTTTTGGCAGGGTCTGGATTACCTATGGGTGGTCTGGTCTACTTTTTGGCAGGGTCTGGTTTACTTTTTGGCAGGGCCCGGTCTACTTTTTAGCAGTCTGGCCTGCTTCTTCGCAGGGTCTGTGCGACGGGGCTGCCATTGATAGCTTCTCTGGCATGAGCGACGGCGCAGCGTGGGGGTGGGGGGGCGGGGGATGGGGGAGGAAGAGGCGGAGGTGGAGGAGGAGGAGGAGGAGGAGGAGGAGGAGGAGGAGGAGGCGGAAGAGGAAGAGGAGGAGGAGGAGGAGGAGGAGGAGGAGGGGGAGGAGGAGGAGGAGGAGGACGAGGAGGAGGAGGAGGAGGAGGGGGAGGAGGAGCAGGGAGGAGGGGCAGGGGGAGGGGGGGGCGGATGAGCAGGAGGGCGATGAGGAGGGATGGGGGGCGGAGGACGGAGAGAAGTTTCACGGAACAAATGACTCCCTCTGGGGACCTGGTCGACATCCAGGAGCACGACGACGCGGACTAGCAGGGGCGGGGGGGGCAGAGACGGGAGGGAGGGGCCGAGTAGAGCCGGGGGCAGGGACAGGGCGGGAGAGCGATGCAGGAGCGACGTCCCACGGTGGACAGGCCAGGCGGTCCTGTTCTGGTGTCCTCAAGCTTCCCCCTGGACGTCGAGCCTCACTCCCGCCAGAGGCTGGGTTTTGCTGCGCCCTTGTGCTCGCGAGGGCGCAGGATTAGCAGCGGGAGCAGGGGGGAGACTGAGGACTAATGCAGCAGGGAGCGGAGGGGAGGACGACAATGAGGAGGGAAGCTGTTTCCAATATTGTTTCGGCTTCGCTCGGACGCGGAATCTGCAGTTCCGCTGTAAAAAATCTGGCATTGGCACCGAAGCTGGGCGCGAGGCTACTCCCGCCAGAGGCTGGGCTCGGCACCGCAGGCGCCGACGGCAAGTGCTCACCGCCGCCCGCGTTTCCCCGGGTTCGAGGGCAAGCCGTACTTGCCCTCCTCCTGGTGGCGCAACGCCTTCGCGTTGCGCCTGAGGACTCCCGCCGCGGACTGCGAGGTCGAATGCTTGCGCTTCTGGATCCACACAGGCAGGCTCAGGTAAGCGCGGTAGATGTCGTAGCATGAGCACAAGTGTTTCCCGAACCAGAAGAGTTCGGCCAGCGTGATGAATTGGCCACTGCGGATCTGCCAGTTCCCGAAGGCTGGGTCGCTCCTCATCAAGCCAGTCTCGCCGCCGTCCTTCATCATGATCCAGTCCAGGTATTGGATGGTCAAGTTTCCTTTGTGGGTGGATAGCCACGAGTACGTGTCCCAGCCGCGCGAAAATTGGTAGCGCCAGTAGCAAGGTTGAAGGATGCTCCCGCCAGAGGCTGGGAATGGCTCCCACCCCGCCCGCACAAGCCTGGCCTCGCCATCGTGCAGTGCCAGAATGTGCTTCACGTAGTCGCGCGTATCGTGCAGGCGAAAGTCCTCAGTCGTGGCGACGGATTCTCTCCAACGGTGCCGCCCCCTGTCCCTCCCCCTCCTCGCCCTCCCCCCTTCCCTCCCCTTCCCCCATCCTCGTCCTCTCCCTCCTCCTTCGCCGACTCCCTACCGCGTGGAGGGAAGGGAGATGGGTGGAGAGGACGTGGCTGGGGGTCGACTGGGCTTCGGCATCGTTGGAGACAACCCCCGCCATTCCTGCTCGAGCCGCTCCCAGGCGTCGCGCTGGAGCACCCACCACCCGCCAGAGGCTGGGGACAAGTCCGGCCACTCCTCGACGAAGGTGAGCCATTCATCCTCGTCCATCTTGTTTGTCAGCAAACGCATGTAGTGCATCTTCCTGCTGGCGATGGCCTTGACGACATCCTCGTTGGCGCCGAAGCGCATGGTGTTCTTGGAAGGGATTCCAGCGATGAACTCCGGAGCGTCCGGGATCGGGTCCGCGTACTCCAGCAACTCACCGAGGAGAAGCGCCCGACGCTCGTCGCGAGCTCTCGCCAGTTGCGGAGCCTCTCGAGGCATGCGCTCACGCAGGCTGACCCTTCCCTGCCAGTGCTCGCCGAAGTGCACCTGCCGCTCACTGGCGCGCACGATCTGGCGCAGCCGCTCCTTCTGGTCCTCCGACAGGCGCTCCAGTTTCTTGGCGGACACGTGCACGGTGAGGTCGACCTCGCCGTCCGCCCCGCCAGAGGCTGGGTCGCGCGCACGTTGAGGCCCCGGTCGGGACCTCGAGCGGCGACGCACCCTGTGCTGCGGTTCAGCCGGGGGGGCCTGCTCCGGCGCGGGCTCGGCGTTGACGTCCTGCTCCTCCCCTCCAGACGACAAGCTGTCATCCTTATCTTCGGTATAATCGATACCCTGCACTTCAGCCGTTTCCTCCGCTCCCACCTGGTCGTCCGCGAGGTTGTCCTGGCGCTCGGCGCCACCGCTCGGCGCAGGCAGCAACGCGGAGGCCACTCCGGTCGCGTCGGCGGGCGCCCCGAGCGCTGCCGCGGGCGCCCCCGCCAAAGGCACCTGCAGGGGCGTCGCCGCCAGAGGCTGAGGCGGTGGAGCAGAGGCTGACGCGCGCGCCGGCGCGGGCTCGGTGGCGCACGCCAGGGGCGGCGGAACAGACGTGCTCGCCGGAGCTGCCTGCGGCGCCAACGCGGAGGCGCGCGCTGCGTCTCCCGCCAGAGGCTGGGGCAACGACGCGGAGGCCGCTCCGGTCGCGTCGGCGGGCGCCCCCACCGCGGCCGGCCGCGGGCGCTGACGCCAAAGGCAGCTGCAGGGGCCTCGCCGCCAGAGGCTGAGGCGGTGGAGCAGAGGCTGACGTGCGCGCCAGCGCGGGCTCGGTGGCGCACGGCAGGGGCGGCGGAACAGACGTGCTCGCCAAAGCTGCCTGCGGCGCCAGCGCGGATGCGCGCGCTGCGTCTCCCGCCGGAGGCTGGGACAACGACGCGGCCGCCGGGGAAGCAACGGGCGCCTCGCTGCCGCTTCCGGAGGCGCTCGCGGAAGCGCTCGGCGGCAACATGGCCGGGCGGGCGGCGACATGGCAGGGCTCCGTGGGAGCGGAAAAGCCGGGCGGCCAGATCCGGCCGGCTTCCGCGACATCCCAAAATATCGCCTCCGCCTGGACGAGGTTCTCCTCCGTTGCGGAACCCCCCGCAAGGGGCCACCACATCGCCGCGAGCGGATCTTTGATCGTGTTGGTGCTCCACCCACAAGTGAACTTCGCGCCAGAGGCTGCGAGCGTCGCTGCCAAATCCCAGGGGGACTGGTGGTACTTGGACGCCCGGCCATCTTCGTCTAAGCGCCGAGGGTGCAGGGACTTGTCCACCTTGTGCTGCGTGACGGTGGATACGAGCGGGTGGCTCTCCAAGAGGGCCGCGATCCGATGGATGTTTGTGTAGTGCTCCATCAAAACGCCATCCTTGACTCTGGTCTCCAAGCCCGCCTGGGATTCTGCTCCCTTCGGAGGGGGTGTCCCGCCAGAGGCTGGGGCCCTCACGAGGAAAGGAACGAGCAGCCACGCTTGAACACCGCCTGCCGGCTGCTTCACAGTGTAGTAGTGCCACGGACGTTGTGCGCTCTTCTTCGGCTTCTCACTTGTATACCCAGACACAATGGGCTCGGTGGCTCGGAGAGGATGGTCGTGGCGCCAATCCCGCAAATATAGCGCCAGCCAATTGGGCTCACTGAGAGGATCCGCGGACATCCCGCGCGCTGCTCGGGCGCTGGGCGCAGGCGCCGGGACTTAGTGAACAGCGGTTGCAGCACGAGCGGCTTGAGCCGAGAGGGCCTTGGAGAGCAGCTGCCACCTGCCCCTCCTTCCTCCACCCTTCCTCTTCAAGATCGGTCCCCGGAGCCCTCCCGAGTCCCAACGCATTGATTTTCCAAGGTGCGCCCATCCGTGGCGACGAGGCCCCCCCGAGGGCCCACTACCGGTGTCTCCAACGGACATCCTGAGAGTATCCTGGTCGTACTCCTCCTCCGCCTCCTCCTCCTCCTCGTCGTCCTCCTCCTCCTCCTCCTCCTCCTCCTCCTCCTCCTCCTCCTCCTCCTCCTCCTCCTCCTCCCCCCCTCGCCGGCGACCTGCGGGCCCGGCTCCCCCTCCTCCTCCCCCCCCTCCTCCTCCTCCTCCTCCTCCTCCTCCTCCTCCTCCTCCTCCTCCTCCTCCTCCTTTCCGTCCCCCCCCCTTCCCCCGCCCCCCCGCGTGCCAGGCGCGTGCACGCTTACATGGCTGAGATTGTGGGCCCAAACAACCACGCGACTACCATCGGGGTGAGCGACCGAATGGAGCTACAGCAGGCCATCGCATAGCATAGCATCGCGTGGCATAGCACAGCAGAGCACAGCAAATGTCGTTCCGTGTACAACAGCCACGCACGATCACCACGTGGCTCCTACCGAGGTTTTTGGGCGGAACACCACATCTGCAGCATCGCATCCCGTCGCATGGCGTCGCAGACCATAGCCTAGAAGGCGTCAAATAGGAGAGCAGCGCATGGCGTGGCACAGCATAGCGCAGCAACGCATGGCATAGCACGGCGGTATGGCATAGCATGTGATACAATAGCAAACCAGCAATGCTTTTCCGGTGCAAGACCACCTCAAAGGTATCCCAGACCCCGCCTAGAAGAGCACCAGAACACCCATCAAATCGCTCAGACCACCAAAAAGCAAACCAGAACGAGCCCACAAGTAAACAAGACCTTCCAGTAAAGCGAGCCAGGCCTCCCACAAGTAGAGCAGAGCCCGCCCAAGAGTAAAGCAGACCGCCCACAAAGGAGACTGGGCCCCGCCCAAATTTGACGAGACATCGAGGCAAAGCAGAACAGACCACACCAGGAGTACGGCAGACCCCGTCCGACAGAAGAGCAAACCCTGGCCGAGTAAACCAGAACACCCAGAAGTAGATCAGACCCCGCCCAGAAGTATACCAGACCGCCAAAGTGTTGACCCGACCCAGCCCAGAAGGACAGCAGACCTCCTGCAAAAACAAGCCAGGCAACCCAAAAGCAGACCAGACCCCGCCTCATAGTAGACCAGACCACGCCCAACAGTAAACCAGACGACGCCAAAAGTAGAGCAGCCCACCCATCGAAGCACCCCAGACCCTGCCCCACAGTAAGCCAGACCTCCCGGTAGGGCAAGCCACACCACCGAAAAGTAGAGCAGAGCCCGCCCGCAAGTAAGCCAGACCACCCACAAGTAAAGCAGACCCCGCCCAAAAGTAAGCCAAACCAGAAGGAGGAGTAGACCCCGCCTAAAAGTAGACGAGACCACCCACAAGTGTATCAGACCCCGCCGAGCAGAACACCAGACCTCCCATCCAAACGCTCACACAGCCGGAAATGAAAGGAAAGCCTACTCAAAAGTACACCAGAACTCCAAGTAAAGCAAGGCAAGCCACCCAAAAGTAGAGCACTATCCGCTCGAAAGTAAACCAGATCACCCAAAAGTACACCCGACGTCGCCCAAAAGACGCCCAGACCCCGCACCAAAGTGAACCACACAGCCCACAGGTACACAAGAGCCCGTCCAAAAGAAGAGCAGACACCGGCCGAACGTATACCAAGGCGCCCAAAGGAGACCTGATCCCGCCGAAAAGGACACCAGGCTCCCGAGCAAAGCAGGCTAAGGCGGCCAAGAAAGCAGACCAGACCTGGCCCAAAAGTCACCCGCACCAGAAAGGCCACCGAGCCATGCCGCCCAAAAGTAGAGCAGGCCCCACCCACAAGTAAGCCAAAGCACCACCAAGTAGACCAGACCCCTTCCAAAAGGGTAGCGGGCCCCGCCCACAAATGAAGCAGAGAACCGAAAAGTAAACCAGACCCCGTTCAAAATGACACCAGACCGTCCGAACATGTAGACCAGACCCCGCTCATAAGTGGGACGGCGACAAGGATCAGGCACAACGTGGAGGAGGAGGAGGAGCAGCAGCAACAGAAGCAGCAGCAGGCGTCGCAACAGGCAGGCGGGAGGAGGATGAGAAGGAACAAAGGTGGGCGGATGATGGTGGTCGAAGAAGCACATGATGATGAAGGGTGAGTAATGGTGGGGATGATGATGATGGTGATCATCATGATGATCATGATGACGATGATGATGATATTGATGAGAATGATGATGGTGATGATGATGGAGAGGCGCATGAAGACCCGAGGGAAGAAGGCGGGGCCGGTTCTGGAACCGAGGGAAGAAAACGGGGCCGGTTCTGGAACCGAGGGAAGAAAACGGGGCCGGTTCTGGCACCGAGGGAAGAAAACCGGGCCGGTTCTGGAACCGAGGAAAGAAAACGGGGCCGGTTCTGGAACCGAGGGAAGAAAACGGGGCCGGTTCTGGAACCAAGGGAAGAAAACCGGGCCAGTTCTGGAACCGAGGGAAGAAAACCGGCCCGGTTCTGCAACCGAGGGAAGAAAACCGGGCCGGTTCTGGAACCGAGGGAAGACAACCGGGCCGGTTCTGGAACCGACCACAACAAAAGAAAACTTTTTCAAAATCCGGACGTGTTTTCTTCTGTCGGTTGCGCAACCGACACAAGAAAAACATACCTGATTTGGTATGTTGTGGTCCAAGTTGTGGGCGTCATAAAGAATCAAATACAGCGCCCACAACCTGACACCCAACATGCCAAATCACGTATGTTTTTCTTCACTCGGTTGCGCAACCGAGAGAAGAAAACATGTTCGACCTGTTTGGTGGTCGGTTCCACAACCGACCCGGTTTTCCCTCGGTGCCACAACCGCCCTGGTTTTCTTCCCTCGGTTCCAGAACCGGCCCGGTTTTCTTCCCTCGGTTCCACAACCGGCCGGGTTTTCTTCCCTCGGTCCCAGAACCGGCCCCGTTGTCTTCCCTCGGTTCCAGAACCGGTGCCGTTTTCTTCCCTCGGTTCCAGAACCGGCCCGGTTTTCTTCCCTCGGTTCCAGAACCGGCCCTGTTTTCTTCCCTCGGTTCCAGAACCGGCCCCGTTTTCTTCCCTCGGTTCCAGAACCGGCCCCGTTTTCTTCCCTCGGTTGCAGAACCGGCCCGGTTTTCTTCCCTCGGTTCCAGAACCGGCCCGGTTTTCTTCCCTCGGTTCCAGAACCGGCCCGGTTTTCTTCCCTCGGTTCCAGAACCGGCCCGGTTTTCGTCCCTCGGTTCCAGAACCGGCCCCGTTTTCTTCCCTCGGTTCCAGAACCGGCCCCGTTTTCTTCCCTCGGGTCTTCATGCGCCTCTCCATCTTCATCACCATCATCATCAATAGCACCATCACCGCCAACATCATCATCATCGTCATCATCATCATCATCATGATCATCATCACCACCACCATCACTCACCCTTCATCATCATCATGCTCATCATCATCATCACCATCATCTTCATCAATGTCATCATCTTCGTCATAATCATCATCATCACCACCTTACTCTCCGTTCACCATTGTTTCCACTGTTGTGCACACTCGCCGCGCACGTCCGAAGGCGTGTCTGGAAGTTGCCCCATCCGGGCAGGAGAGTGGTCTTGACATCAAAATTTGCCGCGCCTGCGATCTAGCACGCTTACGCGCGCGCCCAGGGGGCCACCCCCGAAACTTCTCTCTCGCTGGAGTAGCGACGCGCTCAAAACGTCGCCACCGTGGGAGGGCCTGGCCGCGCCGGCGGCGCGCCAGAGGCTGCGGCATCTTCCCCCCCGCGAACGCGCGCCTGCGATCTAATCCTCCGCCGAGTCCTCGCTTCCCCCATCGCCCTCCGCCGCGTCCTGGACTGGCTCGAGCATGCGCCGCGCCTCCATCATCGCCCCCGCGAAGTACTTCTCCACTTTCTCGACGAAGGCCTCGTCGCCGCCGAGCATCTTCGCGAAGTTCTTGTCACGCCCCGCCAAGTACATCGCGCATCGGTCCATGGTCGAATCGAGCCACTCCCGGTGCACCTCGTTCGCCGCCACGCCCTCGTACTCCATCGCGCCAGCGGCTGCGATTGCCAACGCGGCAGACCCCGCCGAGAAGTCAACGATGTGGGTGATGTGGTGGTGCTCGCAGAGACGCTGCCACAAATGCAATGGCTTCACTTCGAGGTGCGAGAAGGGGTGCCCTTTCGATTCGATGTCTTTCTGCGCGCGCTTCCCTTTGACCGCGCCAGCGGCTGCGTTTCCCAGGATTGAAGCCTTCGTCTCGTAAGTCATGCGCGGAAGCTCGCAGTATTGCCGCATAGGCACGCCCGTGTACGTCGTTGCCGCACTCGAAGACTCGCCGCACGAGTTGAACTCCGCGCGGTCCACTACCTTCATGGCGCCTCTCTTCGGGATCGAGCAGATGGCCACTTCCTTGTTGTTGCACGCGAAAGAAGTCACTCGTCCCGGAACTCTGGGATCCTCTTGCTTGGTCGGCTGCACGTACACGCACCAGCACTCCGTCAGGGCGTGCGCGCCAGAGGCTGCGAGACTGTCCTCTTTCTCCTCGATCAGCTTGCGGCACGAGCGGCTCCGCCCATCGAGGAAGATCACGATATCGTGAACCGAGCGCTTCTGGCAGACGAAATCCAGCACGCGCCCGAAGCGGTCCGCATCGCAACCGACGGATTCGCCCAAGTTCGCCGCCACCCCGCTCTTGCTCACGTTTGGGGGGAACAGGTCGGCCGCCAGAACGAATGCTCGGACGTCAGTTTTTTTCCTGCCGTACCTGTGTCCGAGACGCATCTCTTCCCAAACCTTCTGCAACTGGGCAGTGCTGTATTCCGCGCCAGACACCCCGCCGACCGACGGCAGCGCAACGAACGAAACGGTCTTCCTGCGCAGAGAGATCAGCAACTCCTGGGTTTTGCGGAGCTCCTCCTGGTCACCATCCTCGAGCTCCGACGCCCCCAAGACCACGCCGGAGGCCGACTTCGCGGCAGGGTCCGCCGGAATGGGGCCTGCCGAGCAAGCTGCGACGAGCGCACGGTACTTGACGCCCATCTCCTTGGTGCTCTCGTTGAAGTACCGGTGCCACAAGAATCCGGGCGCACCTCCCTGCAGGTCCTGGGCGCAAAGCTCCTCGAGCTCCGCGTCGAAATGGCCAGCCCAGACGCCCCGCGCGAAGTCGATGACCGCCTGCGTCTTCCCGTCCTGGCCCTGCTGGTCGCGGTAGTTGGCCACTGGGACAGCGAATGTGTTTTCGAACCCCCCTCCGGAGTCACGTGTCGGGGTCTCGTCTCGACGAAACTGAGCAGCTAAGCCATCTTCCTCGCCAGTGGCTGAGAAGTGCTTCAAGACGGCAAGCGGCGAGCGAAAAATGGAGACTGAAACCGCAATTGCCTTGTCGATCATCGCCGCCTCGTGAAGAATGTACGCCATGAGATCTTGTTTCTTGAAGAGCACGTGCGCCATCGCTGGGGACTTTTTCTCCTGTCCCGTGACCTTGCTCAAGGTCAGGCCCTCCCCCCTAGGGGCGTCGCCGGTCAGCCGGGCCACGCGCAGGCAGTCCATGATGAACACCATCGACTCGCGGGAGGTCGCGTCCTTGTCTGCCTTGGAAGACGCCGCCCTTCCATTGCATAACTGAGCCAACCGCAGCAACAACGTGGGTTCGCGGAGCTCAGGGCAGAAAGCCTCCGACAAAGAGTATGCCACGACGCACGCCTCATCCCCGACGAAAGGCGTCAAGTTTTTCAAGCACTTCGCGTGTGACTCGGCGAGCGGCTTGCCCTTGAACGCGAGCCCGTAGCTCTTGAGGGCCGCGAACAATTTCGGCAGGGACAGGTTGTCGGCCATAGCCTTCTGGCACCTTGTAAGTCGAGCCACTTTCTCCGCCAGCTTCCAAAAGGAATCCGCGCCAGAGGCTGCGGACGCGGTGAACATGGTCTCAGAGAACATCAGCGCGGCCAGCTGGCAAGCGTCCGAATCGGGGCTGAGACGCAGCCTGATTGGCACACTCAGAGCTGCCTCAAACAACTTGAATGCACGCTCAGTGTTGTCGGTGGACAACGCCTCTGCCATGGCGCCATGCCAAGCCATCACAAGCGCGTGCCCCGCCAGCATGGGCACGCCCGTTGCCATGAGTACAGAAGATTCGCCTGCGCCCATGCGCTGCGCCACCTTGGTGTTGACCACTCGCGCGGGGAGCGGCACGTCGAACGAGTAGCGCCGCGACGGCGGGTGGTCGGATGACAGCAAGAGCTTCTCCTCAGACCACATCCCCATGGCGGCATCGAGCTGGCTAATGCTGACGGAGTCGGTCGTGTCGCCGGCGAACGGGTCGAGCATCCAGACTGTCCCCGCAGCCTCGTATTGCCCCGTCTTAGAGAAACTCATCTGCAAGTTGTCGTAGTTCATGACCTCCCGGAACGCCGACAAGTTCGCGCCAGAGGCTGCAGCAGAAATTTGCAGGGGAGGGATGAGCATGACGGAGCCCGGAATTTTGAAGGAAACTTGCGTGTGTCGATCTGTCAGGAACTTCAGGAGAGCCTTGTCGACGTAATCCTTCGCCCCCTTGGCCCAACTACGAAGATGGTCCGTCTGGGCCTTCAGCGACTCCATCTCCAGCAGCCCCGTGACGGCCAGTGGCCCTGGCGGTGAAGGCAACGGCGCAGGCGGCGCATCGGTCGGCTGCTGCGCAGGAGGCTCCTGCGCCGTGCGCGGCTTCTTCGCCGCGGGCCCCCCTCCATCTTTGGGCGCCATGCGCGCGAATGAACGAGGTGGCGCAAGCAGAGGCGCGCGGGCCACGTTGCCAGCGCTGGGCACTTGAACCGATCAGCTGCGATGCGTGGTCTTCTCAAACACACTTTTGGATGCCCAGCCATGCTTGGAAAGGTGGTCTGGTATACTTGTGGTCGGGGTCTGGTTTACTGCTGGGCGGCCTGGTGTACTCGTGGGCGGGGTATCGTCGACTGGCGAACGGGTGGTGTACGTTTGGGCAGAGTCTGGTCCACTTTTTGGCGGGTTCTATGTATTTTGGGGAATATCATTTCTGGGTGGTCTGGTCAATTTGTAGGTGGTCTGGTCTACTTTTTGGCAGGGTCTGGTCTACTTTTTGGCAGGGTCTGGTTTACCTATGAGTGGTCTGGTCTACTTTTTGGCAGGGTCTGGTCTACTTTTTGGCAGGGTCTGGTTTACTTTCGGGTGGTCTGGTCTACTTTTTGGCAGGGTCTGGTCCACTTTTTGGCAGGGTCTGGTTTACTTACGGGTGGTCTGGTCTACTTTTGTGCGGGGTCTGGTCTACGTTTTGGCAGGGTCTGGTTTACCTACGAGTGGTCTGGTCTACTTTTTGGCAAGGTCTGGTCTACTTTTTGGCAGGGTCTTGTTCACTTATGGGTGGTCTGGTCTACTTTTTGGCAGGGTCTGGTTTACTTTTCGGCAGGGACTGGTTTACTTACGGGTGGTCTGGTCTACTTTTTGGCAGAGTCTGGTCTGATTTTGGCGGGGCTTTGTTTACTTATGGGTGGTCTGGTCTACTTTCTGGCAGGGTCTGGTTTACTTTTTGGCAGGGTCTGGTTTACCAATGGGTGGTCTGGTCTGCTTTTTGACAAGGTCTGTTGTACTTTTTCGCAGGGTCTGGTTTACTCATGGGTGGTCTGGTCTACTTTTGGGTTGGGTCTGGTCTGGTTTTTGGCAGGTCTGGTTTACTTATGAGTGGTCTGGTCTACTTTTTGGCAGGGCCTGGTCTACTTTTTGGCCGGGTCTGGTTTACTTATGGGTGGTCTGGTCTACTTTTTGGCAGGGTCGGGTCTACTTTTTGGCAGGGTCTGGTCTACTTTTTGGCAGGGTCTGGTTTACTTTTTGGCAGGGTCTGGTCTACTTGTTGGCCGGGTCTGGTTTACCTATGGGTGGTCTGGTCTACTTTCTGGCAGGGTCTGGTCTACTTGTTGGCCGGGTCTGGTTTACATATGGGTGGTCTGGTCTACTTTTTCGGCAGGGTCTGGTCTATTTTTTGGGAGGGTCTGGTTTACTTATGGGTGGTCTGGTCTACTTTTTGGCAAGGTCTGGTCTACTTTTTGGCAGGGTCCGGTTCGCCATCGGGTGGTCTGGTTTAATTTTTGGCATGGTCTGGTTTACTTTTTGGCAGGGTCTGGTTTACCTATGGGTCGTCTGGTCTACTTTTTGGCAGGGTCTGGTTTACTTTTGGGCAGGGTCTGGTTTACTTATGAGTGGTCTGGTCTACTTTTTGGCGGGGTCTTGTCTACTTTTTGGCAGGGTCTGGCGTGCTTATGGGTGGTCTGGTATACTTTTTGGCAGGGTCGGGTCTGCTTTTTGGCAGGGTCTGGTCCACTTTTTGGCAGGGTCTGGTTTACTTATGCGTGGTCTGGTCTAATTTTTGGCAGGCTCTGGTCTGCTTTTTTGGCGGGGTATGGTTTACGTTGTCTGCTGGTCTGCTTTTTTGGCAGGGTCTGGTCTACTTTTTGGCAGGGTCTGGTTTACTTATGGGTGGTCTGGTCTACTTTTTGGCAGGGTCTGGTCTGGTTTTTGGCAGGGTCTGCTTTACTTTTGGGTGGTCGGGTCTGCTCTCTGGCAGGGCCTGGTCTACTTTTCGGCATGGTCTGGTTTACTTATACGTGGTCTGGTCTGCTTTTCGGCAGGTTCTCGTTTACTTGTTTGTAGGGTCTGGTCTGCTTATGGGTGGTCTGGTGTACTTTCTGGCAGGGTCTGGTCTTCTCTTTGGCAGGGTCTGGTTTACTTATGGGTGGTTTGGTGTACTTTTTGGCAGGGTCTGGTCTACTTTTTGGAAGGGTCTGGTCTACTTGCGGGTGGTCTGGTCTACTTTTTGGCAGTGTCTGGTTTACTTTAATGGCCTGCCCCCCACTCCCCCCTCCCGCCCCATCTTTCGACAAGAACCGCGAAACCGTGCGCGGTTCTCCCCTGTGTCTGATTAGGCTGGTCCAAAGCTTCGGTATCATGGCTTGCGCAACCTCCCACCCCTGTTGGCACTGCGCGATGCTACAGATCCCTGACCAGAACAACTCGCCTGGACGTGCTTCCAGGGACACGCGAAACGTTTTTTTTGTGTTGTTTTCTCTCTCTCTCTCTCTCTCTCTCTCTCTCTCTCTCTCTCTCTCTCTCTCTCTCTCTCTCTCTCTCTCTCTCTCTCGCTCTCTCTCTTTTCCCGGGGGGCTCCTCAGGCGCGCATTGGCATTCCGTCCACGGTCACTGCCTTGGGCCCACCTTCATTCCTCACTTTCCTCGCTGCAGACGCCCATGCGACGACGTCGCGCAGACTCGAGAAACACGTCCCGCCAGCGGCTGGGGGGGGCGCTTCCGACACTGCGAGTTTCGACCCCGCTCTGCGGGCCACGCGCCGTGCCGCCGCCCTCACGTCTGGATGCCCCGCGACGAGGCCTGGCGCGAGATGGATCACCTCCCCGCGCTGGTTTGCTGGAACGTGGCGCATGCGGTGGCCGAGTGGAATTCCATCTGGGTGGCACTGGGCAGAGACAAGGTGTGTCTTCGTAACGACGTCGAGGCCCAGCGACGCGATGTAAAAGTAAGAGACGGTCAGGTCCGCGCTGGCTGCTATCGCATCCAAGTCGTGGAGGAACGAAAAGTCTGGAACGACGACGAGGTCTGCTTCTGCACAACGGTGTCTGCCAGTGACAGTAGCGCAACCTCTCGCAGGGCACGTGTCGGTCGCGCCGCCGAGGCTTGCTACCTTGCTGCACGGCGAGGGCCGCGCCAGAGGCTGCGTCGTCGCACCTCGTCTTGGAGCCAGGTGGACGCCGGGCGGACTCGCGAAGGGCGCCCCTGGACACGCCCGCGCCTGCGTGACGCCTGGTATATTCTTGCGGCTGCGCGCCTGGAACTTACCCATGCCATCGTTCCACAAAGCGCTCGCCTCGGTGCCGGCGCCAGAATGCACCGCGGTCGAAGACTGGCCCCGCGCCCGTCGAAGACGCGCGGCAGCCGCGGCCAGGCGGGCGGCCCCAAGAACGGCCCGAACACGTCCTCGAACAAGCCCGGGCGCACCGCGCCTCTTTAACTTGGCCGCCGCAGTAGCGCGAGGATTGTAATGCCCATGCCGATGGCCGAACAGTTCCAGCCAGAGGCTGGCGCATTCCCTGGAGAAGGACGTCAGGCCCAGTCCAGAGCGAGCTGCGCCTTCGTCGAAATCAGCCGCCGTCTTCGGCCCGTTCAACTTCACGATTAAGCCGTCGTCGTGGAAGGCGATATCATCGGTGCGGCGCTCTACCCGTTGGTCCCGAAATCTGGCCAAGTCGCGTTCGACGGTGCACTCCCCGTCTTCAATCGAGATGTAGAAACGCACCAGGCGGCAGAGCACGCGAGAAGACCCGCGGAGACGCCTCGGGCAAGCCGCCTCCCAAAAGTCATCGTCGAGCACGCGAGCCCACGCCTGCTGGTTAGTTGCCCCCGCCAGTGGCTGGGATGGCTCCATCTGTTCCATCATGTAGGGAAGCACGCCGTCGTACTGTCGCATCGCCGCCTGCTCGTCGCAACCGAGCAGGGCCGCCAGCTGGCGCGCGCCCCGCAACAGGAACCGCCGCACTTCAACATCAGGCACTGGGCCGAAACCTTTCTGCACGAGACGCCGGTCAAACATCGCCAGCGCCGAGCGGACGTCAGTCCGCGGGAAGTCCTGGAGCAAGCGCTCTTTTGTCAATCCCGCCACGTTCTGCATTCGGTGGAGGAGCTCCTCCTTGTGCGCCGCTGCTGGTTCCCCCCATGGCATCACGGGGTCGCCGTCTGCGTAGAACACATACTTGGTGCGGAGATTGCGCATTACCGTCTCTGTGATAAAGCCCGCCTCATGCCCTACCGCGCGGAGCCGCGGCGGCAGCGGCTCCTCGGCAGCTGGGGCGGTCACGCCAGAGGCTGCGGCTGCCGCGGGGGGGCGGGCGGCCTGGAGAACCGTCTGGAAGACACGCCCTTGCATGAAGACCGCGTCCAACGTCTCGACCATGCAGTCGATCTCAGAACGCGACTTCGCAATGTCGTGGCTGGCGACGTCGAAGAGCCGCAAGAACCAGTTGCATATGATCCCCCAATCCGCCGACACACCAACGGCCATACAAAACTTAGTATCGAATTTCCGCAACAGGGCGCCTGCCCGCTCGCGCTGCCCCCGATCGTGGCGACGGTCGGACGCGATGTACGCCGGCAAGGTTGCCACCGGCAGAAGCATGAGAGCGATTTTCAACACGGGGCCCGCCGTCGAGTCGAAGCGTTGCTTGGCGAACGCCAAGTTCCGCACGATTCCCGCCAGGGGCTGGGGCCCTCCAGGGAGTCCAGGCACCGCCACTGCATGCACGTTGTCCTCCTGGATGGCCACCAGAAGGTTGTGCCACTTGGTAGAATTCGTCAGGTCAGGAACCAGCGCATGCCGATCATCGAACAGCTCCTTCCATACCTGCCCAAACACGTCGTCGCAGTGCATCGACTTGCAGGCAATGCGAATGGCGCGAGCTGGGTCGCGAATCACGATTAACAAGTTAGGGAACAGATCGCGAGCAGCGAGAAAGACTGAACGCCGCTCCTTGGACGCGCCATCGGCAGCGAAACTGGTGACTGTTCCCAGCACGTGCGCTTTCAGTTTCTGGTCGCACGCCAGCGGATGCGCTCCCCTTGTGGCCTTTTATTTTGCCGAGCGGCGTACAGAATTTCGTAAGAAAGTCATCGAGCTGCTTAACCGCAGTGACAGCGTGGTCATCCTCGAAGTCGGACGCGTGTTTTTT